AAAGATTTTTAAAAAAGTACTGGGGAGAACTCAGGAGAAATTTTTCCCATCGATCTCTCCAGGTAGCAAACTTACTCCTGGGCCTCTCAGCAGCACCAGGATCAGCTGTGTGTCACCATAAACAACGAAGACTGACTTCCACGGTGGCCCAAAGACGTTTCTCAGACTCCACGCCCAGCAGAGCCTGTTTTCCATGGGTCCTTGGTGGCAGCATCACAAACCCCTGGGAAACAAAACTCCCCAGTGCCTGGGAGGAGCGTGCCCTGTCTTGTTCAGTAAGACAATGAGCCCCAAGCATAACTCACCACATTCCAAGACCTAATGGAGGAAGCAACTGTCTCTCCATTTAATTACAGATTCTTCACTTTCCCTTAATTGCCTGAGTCAGCACCGTGGACCCCAGGGCAGTCACAGCGCACTGGTAAGAGCTGTTGCTCCCGAGCAAGGTGTGACTGTCAGGCAATGAGGGTTTTGTTTGGTGGTTTTAAAACAAACAACTCCTGATGTACACATTCAAGTAAGCATTCCTGAGGACGGTGTCACATCAGAAAACTCCGCTCATGTTGACCCTTCCATAACTAAATACCGGGAGATATGGGATGGCGAGTACTGGTGCTTTATGGAAGGGAAGGAACAGTTCTTTCTTTTTTTTTGTTTTGTTTTGTTTTTTCCGGTACCGGAAATCGAACTCATGACCTTGTGCTTGCCAGGCAGGCGCTGTGCCACTGACCTAAATCCCCAGCCCCAGGAATGGTATTTTTAATAATAAAACTGTCCTAGAAAAACTGAGCTATGAGATCTTCATCAGTAGAGGGGATCCCAGGCAGCCAGTTGGGAGGATGGTAAAACAGTTGGGAATATATATCAAAATGCTTCCCCAGGGCTGGGGATAGAGCTCAGCGGTACAAGCGCCTGCCTGGCAAGCGCAAGGTCCCAAGTTTGATTCCCAGAACAACAACAACAAAATGCTCCCCCAAGAGAGGGCTTCACCCGGCATCACAAACAGATACTCTCCTCATTGGCGGCTGCCCTTGAAGGGGCTACTGGGACTCTGGCTGCTTCCTATTTCTGTCTTCCTATTTCTCCTGGCTGCTGTGAGGTGAAGAGCTCTTTTCTGCTTCGTGTTGCTATCATGATTTATTGTCTTCCTACAGGCTGAAAAGCAACAGGCCCACCAACCATTGACTAGAACACCAGAACTGTGAGCGAAAGCAAACCTTTTCTCCTCCTAAGTCGATGACCTCAGGTATTTCATTACAGTGATGGAAAAGCTAACACATCTATCCACTTGCTTGACTTCATAAAATGCCTCGTAGGTGTTGGTATTTGTGAGACATTTGTCCTAACTTATCTAAGCAATTATCCTCATTTTTCAGAAAGTAAAACCATATTTTTAGAGTCCATATTTTGAACGGAGACAAGGTCTTTTAAGCCCAGTTTTGTTACCTTCTCGGGTCGTACTTCCCGCCTTATTTGTATGGCTGATGTTCAATTAAAAAGTCATTCAACAGACATTTATTGATAAATTACCCAATACCATCAGCACTGGAGAAATCTGGAAATTCCAAGCATGATTTTGGCGCTCACGCAAAACTGCTGGGCCAGGGACACTGTGCAGATGATGATTTGGCCAGCTTTTTCGCTCCCAAAGAACACGGACTTGCTCATTTCACCTTCGGAAATGAAGGATGCATCAGAGGGGGCCATGAAAGTGGAATTAAGCACATTCCCCAGTCCTTCTCTGAATGGTCCTTCTGGGGTCCTTGATGGATCTCTCCGCTCTCCTCCTCCCTCTGTTCACAGCTGAGATGACCTCTTACAGTGCATTAGTCTGTATCAGAAGCAGATCACCCCTGCATGTCAACGACCTAACATAACAGAAGTTTACATCTTGCTCTTGCTCCATGTCCACCGAGGTTAATTGTGGGAGAAGGAGGCACAACTTGGGGACCCAGAATGACAGAGCAGCCATAGTCTTTATAAGTGAATGTGGAGAAGCATGCACTGACTCTAAATGCCCACTGCAATTCACTGTAATTCATCTCCGTGGCCCAAGCAGGTCAAATGGCCATGCCTAACTTAATTGGATAGAGATGTACAATCCTACCGAGACATTGGGAGCGAGCCCAAATATTAGTAAGTAACTTTAATCACCCTCTCACAAGGCCTCTCCAGTCCCACACTGAAAACCCTTTTCTTTTCAGCAACCATAACTAATAATTCATTTGCTCTTTAGTTCATACCCATACCGCACCAAGAGAGAAGCCAAGTGGCCTAGTTCATCATTGCCTAACACGCTACAATGCTACGTCCCTCGATCTGTCAGTCTTTCGATCTGTCCTTCAGTCACGGCCAGACAGCCGGGAAAGAGGGAGAGATACTGCAGCACACAGCTATCCAGCTCACCCTCCTGGCCCTCAGAGTAGGGGGCCCATCCAATACAGGAGAATCTGTAGTTCAAGCTATGATGTTTGGCTGGCCTTTCAAGAGAGAAAAATCACCAATGGCGCAGCCCATGAAACTGGGTTGGGTTCAGCTCGCTGTCAGGTTCTTCATGAGACAAAATCTCAACAAGGGTGAAATGGAAATGACTACATTCAGGGACCTGCCATGTTCGTCCACCAGTGTAGGGATCAATGACAGAGTTCCAAGGGATTTAAAAAGTGAGCCCTCTGTAGCTCCATTTCCGCACTTGGACACCAGAGGCTTCACCCTGAGTATAGCTCTAGGTGACAGGGGCTATATGACTAATACAAGGGGAGAGGTGAAGAGAAATTGATGACTTCAAACCATACAATAAAGCCTGAACCCCCGAACCTGGAACTCCAGGCCCTTTGCCATATGACCACCAAATTCCCTAACCTCTAATCCTGCCGTTCAACCATCACCAAACATTCTTTTCCTCCCTTAGCTCACAGGACAGCCTCCCTTTCCACCTACTGCTACCCTTCCTCTAAAATCAGTCTACAAGCCACTGTTTGTTTGTTTTCAGAGAAGTTTTCTGTGTCCGCTCTGACTTGCTAATTTTTTTTTTTCCTTCTCTGAATTCTTTTACCCCTGCTCACACTGAACACCCAGAGGCTGTGGCTGTTACTCATTTTGGGATTCCCAAGACTAGAACCTGCCTGGTATACAGCAGGTGCTCAGTAATGGTATTGAAGGAATTACCTGTAGCCCTGGCTCATTTAAGGAAGCTTGAATGAATTTCTCCGCTAAAGTAGCCACAGGGAAAGGAGAAAAGTCAGTAGAACACGGTCCCTCAGGAATCTGTCTTTATAAAAGAACCCTAAAAGTGAACTCTAAAATGAGCTCAGCTACCTCATTTTATGAAGAGAAAACTGAGGTGTAGAGAGGTTGTCACATGGCTCGGGCCACGCTGCAGAAAGTAGCTAGGCCAAGTTCAGGCCTCAGGGTTTAACTCTTGAGTCCCTATCCTTGGCCCTCCACTAAGCTCCGAGCTGGGGGGTGAGCACCATAGGGCCTGCACATCTGTATCTGGCCCAGAGGCCTGGAAAAGGGTGCTGTGGTGGCTGAGTTGATGGGTAGTAATTAGCCACAAAGCCCCTAGACACACAGTTTTAACGTTTGACTATTAGGTCAGAGTACTTTTTCCTCCTGGGTAGCTGGTTAGTGGAAGAAACCTGATAAAATCCTGGAGGGGAACTTGATCATTCTCTGAAGAATTTACAAGTTGTTTGGCCTGCCTAATCTGCTCAGCTACCGTCCAGGGAATATTCAGTATCCTTGTAGAGCAGGCTGCGAATTATTCTGTGGGGACTGATAACAAGACCCTCACCAACCCTGCCTCAGCGGGGTCTTGGGTCAGGGCTCCGCGCTCACTCTGTCCCTCTCTTACTAGCACTTGGGAAGGGGAAAGCGCAGGCTTCCCACCCTCACGCCCGGGGCAGAAGGGAGTTGCAGAGGTAGAGGGGAAATCTTCCTGCCTTCAAACAAGCGCTCAGCGGCAGAGCGGGCCCTGTTAGATCCTCAGGGTTACAGTGTGGGCACCTTGACATAGCTAGGATAACCTTCAGCCCATGTTTCTGGCAACCTGGCAGCGGAGTGCTAACATGGGCAGCGGCTGACTCCCTAAAATTAGTGCAAAGAAGATAACGGAAAGTTAGCTCTGGGAGGATCCTAGGGATCACCTGCCCCCTTAATTTAAATATGAAGAAAAGGGGCTGGGGGTTTGGCTCAGCGGCACAGCGCCTGCCTGGCAAGAGCGAGGTCGTGAGTTCAAGGCCAGCTTGAACTACATAATGAAACCCTGTCTCAAAAATCAAAAAATAAAATTAAATTTAAAAAAAAAAAAACTAAACTAAAATTAAATAAATAAATAAATACGAGGAGAAGACCTCGGCGTTGATTCTGTTGCTGGGAAGGCCACACAGCTGCTGGTGACAGAGTAGGGAGCCCCTTAAACTCTGGCCATGCTTAGAACTAAACCAGCTGGGTAGCCTGTCCGGAAAGTATTTGTCCCTCCTTGGGGGAAAGGTGCAGACGACACATCACTGTGTGACACCCCCCCACACACACACACACCCGAGGGACCCCCAGACCTTCCTCCAAGCTCCCCTTTCTGCGCTGCAGTTGCTCCCTGGGGGACACGGGGAAGGCTGAGCGCTCCCCCGGAGCACGGCTGGACACCGCGCGCGCAGGCCCGGGCAAGGGGTGCCCCTGCCGCAGCCGCGGGGAGAGGGGCGTAGGTGCGCGCGGCGCAGGGCGGGGACCTGCGGCCCGAGGCGCGCGGAGGGAAGAGGCGCCCGGGCCCTGGCCGCAGGTTCGGAAGGAGGGCGCCGCCTGCGCCTGGGCGGCTCGGGTCCCCATATATAGTCATGTGCGCGGGCCACTGGGAGGCCGGCGGCGCGCGAGGGGCGGGCGGAGGGGAGGGCGCGCGGGGCGGAGGCAGAGCGAGGGAAGGGGCCGGGGGAAGCGGCTTTTCCAAAAAAGTATTGGCTGTCTTGAGGAATGCGGTCGCCCCCTCGGGAAAGTACATATCTGGGAGCGGCGGGCGGCTCCGCGCTCGCACTCCGGCTCGGCCGTCCCTGCGCTCGCCTCGTCCCGCGTTCCCGCCGCAGCCCCCGGGCCCCGCGCCGCCGCCGCCATGGACGCCATCAAGAAGAAGATGCAGATGCTGAAGCTCGACAAGGAGAACGCGTTGGACCGCGCCGAGCAGGCCGAGGCCGACAAGAAGGCGGCGGAGGACCGCAGCAAGCAGGTCCGCCCCCTCCTATACCCGGCTCCGCGCGCGCGCGCGCGCGCCGCGATGTCCGGAGCCCCGGCCGCCCTTCTGCCCACCCGAGGCCCCGAGAGCCACCTACAGCCGGCCGGAGGGCGCCGGGCTGGGGCTCGCCTCGCTGCCCCGTGCCGACCGCGGACGCGTCCCTCCTGCTTCGCTCACGGTCCGCGAAGTCCGCTTGAGTCCTACTTAGAGTCTCAACTTGAGTCTCAACTTTGGGGATCAGTTTTGGGGGGGAGGGGAACACCGGGCCCTGGGGACATTGAGAAGAAAGAGGGAAGGCGTACGAGCCAAGTCTTGAAGGTGATAAATCTTTGGACTTTTGTCTGGTTCGAGGAAGAACCTGGACCTGGGACCGAAATTTAGGGAGAGGAGAAGGGGACCCTAGAGTTGGGATGGGAAACAGGCAGACGATTGGTGTCGCCCCGGGAGGTGGGGGTGACGGCTGGGTAAAGGAGCCATGCCAGCTCTGGGCGACCGGGGGTTACCGAGGGTGCTTCGAACCCCAACTCGGCGGGACCCCCACACCTGAGGGGTCCCAGCCAACCAGGCGCCCGTGTGTTGTGTGTGTGTCTGACACCCGGTCCGTGCCGCCGCCGCGCCCGCCGCCACCCTCAGCTGGAGGAGGACATCTCGGCCAAGGAGAAGCTGCTGCGGGCGTCGGAGGACGAGCGGGACCGGGTGCTGGAGGAGCTGCACAAGGCGGAGGACAGCCTCCTGGCCGCCGACGAGGCCGCCGCCAAGGTACCGGGGCGCGCGGCGCGCGCGGCGCACGAATGGCTAACTCTGTCTCTCTCTCTCTCTCTCTCTCCCTCCCTGTCTCTCCCTGTCTCTCTCTCCCGCTGTCCCTGTCCTGTGGTCTGTGCACCCACACCCCGCCCTGCGGGATCACGCTGCCTGCTGCACCCCACCCCCACCCCCCTCCCCGTACCCCACGGCCAACTCCCAGCTGGAAGATGAGCTGGTGTCGCTGCAAAAGAAACTCAAGGGCACCGAAGATGAGCTGGACAAATACTCTGAGGCTCTCAAAGATGCCCAGGAGAAGCTGGAGCTGGCGGAGAAAAAGGCCACTGACGTAAGTGCACGCACGCTCACCAAGCCTGGCTGGCCTCCTGCCCGCGCGGCCTCCGCGGGGGACCACCGAGGAGGAGGGGGCGGGCCACTGCACGCGGCTGCCCTGGCCCGAGCACTGGATGCGCCTGACTGCTGTTGCAAACGTTCATCATTCCTTTCTCTTTTTCTCCTCTCTGGACTCGGTGGGGCGGGGTGGGTGGCTGAGGCGCGGGGAGAAGACAGCGGCGGAAGTTCAACTCTCTAGAGCTGAACCTTGCCTCCCGGTGGCAGAAAAGCCCCGAGGCGTGTGTCGTCATCACCGAGGTTTGTGCAAACCGAGAATACTTAGTTTTCTTGACCTGCTGCCTTTCTGCATCCCCGTGGGTGGCAAGATGTGCTTCTCCGTGGTGGACCTAGTCGGGGCGGTACTTCTTTAAAAGCTCAGCTTGAGGGCAGCATAGGGGCACTTTGAGGCTGCCTTTCTCACTAGGGAAGCCTTAATCCAGCCCTTAAGATCTGGGAAGATGATACTTGCTTGGGTCTGCAGTCTTAGGGCACTAGCTCCAGAAAGTAAGCAGGGAGTTATATATAGCTCAGTGCTTTATATGGTATAGTGAAGAGCTGCCCCCTGCCCCTCCTGCTCGCCCCACCCCCACCTGTCAGCCCTCGGACAAGCACACACACTTTCAGGGGCGATGCGGACCGGCCCAAAGCTCCGGGAGCACTGTGCGCACCGTCCTTTGGAATCCTGACGGTAGAGCCCGCCTCTTGCGCCTCGGAAAGTCAGGCCGAGGATTACATTTCTAAAGGACCTGCTTTTCACACCGTTGAATTCCATTCTGGAAGCTAATTAAGCCTAGAGGCCCAATTAGAAAAGCATTCCTTGGGAAGGTGGTAACAATTCCAAGAATGTATGAACACCAGGGAAAGCTATGCCCAGAAGTTGAACTCCCAAGTGCAACAGCAGATTTTTTTTTTTTTTTTTGTATGAGTAAAATGTAAATTCCTGGAGGGCCTCCAGTCTTGAAATCAGTAGAAGCTTTTCGTAGTACAGAAACCTTGAAATGGGTTTGCATGTGGTGTGTTCTGAAAACGAAAGATCTAGACGTTGAGTTCTTAGACTCTGGTAAAAAGAAATTTTCAGTGAAAAAGCAGGGTTGCTGGAAAAGGGGGCTGGGTGAGCTCTGATTTAGCTGGACCATTTACACTATAAGCTACCTGGCTTTAGAAAAGAGCCCAAAAAACCCCAACAACAAACCAAAAAACCCTCACATACTTAACTCTGAGCCTGCTTTGAATAATGCAGATCAGATGTCTGCTCTGCGAGGGTGTCTGTCTCCCTCGAATTCTCCAGCAGGACGTTTATTTAGCTTTTTCAAAAGAGCTGCTGATAGATGAAGGAGAGATATTCCTTATAAGGAAAAGAATGCAGGGAATTTGAAAATAGCCCAGTAACACGGAAGGCAAGGAGGAAAATGCTACGACAGTTTTTAAGGGGAAAAAGAGATGGTCATTGTAGCCGTGTAGCGGTATCGTGTCCTTATTGAGAAGTCTCCTCTAAAGGGGGCCTTTGGGGTGAGGCAGAAATGGAAAAGAGGCTCTTTAAAGTCCGCGGCGAGGGTGGGGCCAGCAGGGGAGGGAGGTTCTTGATCTCACTTTGGTTCTTTTTATCCACTGGCAAACGGTCCCGAAATAAGGGCGGGGTGGGCATATCTCGTTCTCATACGTGTGCGTATGCATATATAAATTCCTACTGGTGCTCATCTTCCCTTACCTTTAAGACTTAGTATGTGGCTTGGAGACTCCAGGGATGTTGAAAGCGTCTGTAAAGAAATGCTATATAGAGTAGCTCCTAAACTCGTAAAAATAGTGAAGATTTGAGGAGGAAGAAACGTCACTAAAGGAGATGTGCGGGAGAAGTCAGTTTCTCCTCTCGTTCTGCGGTGTAAAAATGTTTTCATATTTTTCTACTGCTACTACTAGAAATGTTTTTCTAATTTACCAACAGACTTCACAAATCCTGCTCCAGCAGTGGGTTTTTCCTAGCTCACAAGGTTGTCACTCAGGAGGTAACACCTGGTGATTTTGTTTCGAATTTTTTATTGGCTTTCCCCCTGGGAGGCTGACGGGGAGGAGGAGTGCAGGGCTACGGTTCCCTCGGGCTCCCTCCCCAGTAACTGTGATGGACCTGGTATTTGCAGTGCGGCTCCTCTGCGGGTCTTTACTTCCTAAATTAGCGATTCTCAACTTCCTATCACCATAATCACCCAAAGGGGTTTTAACACTCGAATCAGGCTGCACCCCAGCCCAATTAAATCAGAATCTTTGGAACCGAAACCCAGGCGGGAGCATTTTTTTTTTTAATAACCAGGTGATTCTAACTTGCAGCCACGCCTGCAAACAGCTGTCCTAAACTCTTGTGTAATGACATCAGCTTCAGAATGAACTCACCTGAAGCCGACTTCGCCAGGTGTTTGAAAAGCAGGACCCTAAGTCGCTAACTGGCTGCCTAGCGCACTTCGAGGGTCCAGCGGCTTCCCGCTGCGCCCGGAGGTTTCCCGGGGTCAGCCCGGGTCTGCGCGCTCGGGGAGGCGCTGCGGGATCCCGGGCGCTCGGCGCCCTCTGCCGGCGAGCGGGGCCCACGCTGGGTCCGCGGGCAGCCTCGGAAAAGCGTCGCGTTCTCCAGGGAAAGTGAGTCAGGGAGGCTCGCCGTTAGGGCTCTGGGGGCGTGTGTCCGCGGCGTGTTTTTGTTTTTCATTTTTTCCCACACTTAGCACTTCAAGGGCTGACCTGAAGGGCTCTGTGAGACAGAGACGCGAAAAGCCCTGCGGCTAGGAAGCATTAGCATCGCTGGGAGGGAATTGGCAGGGGTCCGTCCCCCGGGTGTGCCCGCCGGGGCCCAGCCGCTCTCCTAGGGTGTGGGCCCTGCCGTGGGGCGCCTTTTAAAAGGACTCCAAGCCGGGCGTGGTAGCGCACGCCTGTAATCCCAGCACTCGGGAGGCTGAGGCAGGGGGAATCGTTGCGAGTTCGAGGCCAGCCTGGGCTACAAAGTGAGCTCAAGGCCAGCCTGAACTGTATAGCGAGACCTTGTCTCAAAAAGATCAAATAAATAAGTTAATTAATTAATTAATTAAAATAAAAGCATCCCAGACCTTCCAAAGCCAGGGAAAGTTGTGACCTTTAGGGACCTGAGACTGCGCCGCGGGTGGCGGCCCCAGCCTGACTCTCCTAGCCGTGCCTAAGTGTGCATTAATTACTGCTATCTTCGCGTTCTTAACTATATCGAGCACTGTGAAAAGTGCTTTGTAGCCATAACCCTAATCCGCACAACAGCCCCGCGCAGCCCCCCTCTGTACCGACGAAGCGCAGGAGGTCGGTGTTCGCCCGACGCCCCACGGCCGGCGGGGCGCGCGGAGGCCGACTGCCCCTGGGGAGCCCGCCTGGGGCCGGGGGTGCGGCCGC